AGAACCGGGAACAAACATAACACAACTGAAACTAACGCGATGTGTTTTTGTAGAATCGTTGGCTCCAACTGGAATTCGAACCGACACGTCGCGTCGTCGCGGCGAATTAGACAAACAGGCTGAGGTCTAGCTCACGTGGTCGCGAATAACCCAGTTATATAATTGTTGTACTGTTTACTTAGTCCTCAGTGTACTAGGCCACATCCATCTCCTTCAGGGTTGCCACCCGTACTATAATATATAGTATCGTTCTATATTACAATAAATTGTACTATATATTATCGAAAACTAATATAATAGGGAAAAATACTATATTTTATCCCCACTGTCGGGCTTTTTTATATTACCTCTGATTGGAAGTGAGTTTTACGGAAATATTTTTTCCGTCAGAATGTAAAATTGAAAGAACAAATAAATAGAGCTTAATATATTAATTTAATTTAAAATAATCTGTTATTTTTTTTAATATGTATTTAAACTACTATAATTATGTTAAAGGTAATCATTCATTCATTCATAAAGCCAAAGCAAAGATCAATAACAAATATACATATATAGAAAAATACATAAAGATTAAAAATAAATGTGTACTTTTTTCTCCTGAATTTCTCAAGAGTACTATATTTTTGCATCTTTTTTGAGAAAAATACTATATTCGTTCAAAAAAGGTGGCAACCCTAATCTCCTTATCTACTTTTCCCGCCAAGCGGCAATGCACACACACTAATGTGCTCCGGTGTAAGTGCAAGAGTTTCAGTATAATTACAGACTGTACGGCATTCCGTCTTAGTTTAGTTTTTTTTTGTTTTCACTCAAATTAAGAGCCAGGCTAGGATTCGTACCTCCAGGACCAATATAGTCTGGTACTTTGTTCACTGAGCCAGGCGAGCTATATGATGTATATATATGACAGGAATCTATCTCCTCACTGAAGAAAAAACAGTTGATTGATGAAAAAAAAACACAGTGGCAATGATTGGTTCATTCATAAAGTAATTATTACTTTAATTGCTTTAATTTGACGGTCGACATGGTTTATGATCATGGAGTGCCGTTCCACTGCGTTTCTCGATACACACGGGCAAATATACTTATATAATATTGGCGTACTTTAATGCGATTTAGTTAACTAACTTTCCGGTACAGTAGCTTGAAAACGTCTTCCAATGCCGCGATGAAGAATATCGGGAATAAAACGTTATACCTTGTCTTACATTTCTCTACAGTTGGATAGTTTCGTATTCTGATCCTGTTCTCGGACAGCTATCGTACCCTTACTGTACAAATACTTCAGCTTTTCGATACACCGACAGTCAACCAAGAATCGACCAATGAAATCTGTCTGAAGTTCTTCATTGGAACGTTATTTTCTTTTGTGGAAACAACAAGACCACCGCACTTCTGCTCTAAGCCTTCGGAGTAGCCCTATCATGTCGGAATTAGTTGAAGAGCTTCTTAAAGCCTTCTTAGTTATCTGCTTTTCACCTGCTTTCAGTAGTTCCGCTAAAACAATCCTCACCAATCTCTTTCAGACTGACGTCCGGGATATTACCAAAATATCGGCTGTTGAGATTTTCTCTTCGCTCGTTAGCTGGACGCATGCGGATTAGTAAGCTCCAGTGGCAATGGTCCGGCCATATAGCTCGCATAACCGACAATCGATGGAGAAGTGAGGTTCTCTAGTGGCAGCCTTGTACCGGTAAGAAAAGCGTGGCAACTATAAAAAGACAATTTATGAAGGAAGTATCTTATACTTAGCAGTGAACTTTGATAGGCTGTAATTAATAAATGAATAGTCATGTTACCTACTGATTTAATTGCCTACTATTTCTGTGGTCCTGATTATGTGTAGTATACGGCGTGTTTGTCACTGTGAAATGAATGTTTCTTTTCTATATTACAAGTTATATTATAAGTTACGAGAAAACCTTCAGATGTGTTACGACAGCACGGTGAACTCACCGAAGTGAGGAATAACAAGCATGTATAGCGATCAGACTATTTTTGTTACTTTACTTTACGTTTTACTTTACAAAGTCCAATCATCAAGTTAAGCTTTTTATCTTATGATACATCAAGGTCATTTTGTTTATAAGACCTGAATAATATGTAGTATCTTGACAATGACCGTGGAGTTAACCGTGTTGGCGGTCTAAGAATATTCACTACCTAATATCATCCCAGAGGTGTCGTCGTATGCGGCGACAGAGGGAAGCTAAAACCAGGAAATGGACTTCCTGATAACAGCTAAATATGCTCCCTATGAGGCAATCTCTGGGGGAGGTCTATGTTCAGCAGTGGACATTCATATGCTGTAATGTTAATGACAAAGACCAGAAACTATATTTCATTAAAAGAATTGATGTTGCTAGTTAAAACAAAATCTCTGCATATGTACGTAGGTATTTTATAAAGTGAGCATAGAGACACGTCAACAATCACGCTTGTACGTTCCACGCTTAGAAACAATGAATGACCCGCGTTTTTTCTGCAATTTACACGTAACAGGAAAAACCTTGAATGATCATCCTTCGTACGTGACGGTACGGAGTTAAAGTTATCGCGTTATTGTTATACTGGGGAGGATATTATAACCGCAAATAAACAGTTGCGGCAATAACAGGTAGATTATCGTAGAAAAATTGTTGCCAGTGGAGGTCGAGAGAGGGCTCGAGTCTCGAACGTTATTCAACGTTTTTATTAATAAAAAGAGGCTTTGGCAAACGAGGATAGAGAGTCGTACTCAGTGTATGACTAAGTTTGACACTTTTTTCTACATCATATTATACAGCACTCAGTTGGCTTGAGCGGGAAACAATCATGCTCTCAAAGAATACCGGTCTCAAAGAAACAGCAGCTTAATTCTGTTGAGTTTCGTACGGTTGAGTGCTGTGAACCAAAGACCCTTTTTACTGCACTGGAAAATGGAAACGAGGCATTCCATCTTAGTTTTTAGGCGTGACAAGCTGACAACGCATTAGCATTTTGATTCTTAATCGAGGGTAAATGTAGATGTTTATGGGCCACAGCACCCACTTACCATCAGGTGGACTGTGAGATCGTTTGTTAGCCTTATTCTATAATAAAATTATTACCCAGGTTATTTATACTAGGATTATTTAACAATCCTTTACAAAGACTTGAACTTGGCGACCTAAGTGTAGTCGTTTTTCGTGTTTATTTATTTTGTAAAACATGAAAACTCCATTTTAGATTAGAACGAGTTAAATTGAATTTTAAAGGCATTACAATTTATCGGCGATCATAAATGCAGAAAGAATTTTATTTACATACTTCCTTATCGTCTGCGTAATAAAGTAAACTGAAGGTAAGATATACGTAGGCGCAATATTTCGTTAATGTTATCAGAAATTTTACAATATCCGTTAAAGTAACAAGCCCAGAACAGGTCTACTCTCATTTTTTAAAGGTAATGGAAAACGAGAGTGGTGCGTGTCCCCCACCCCTCCTCCGCCTCGACTGCAGGTTAACGGACTGTACACATCGTCTAAATAAACTTCACATGTGTCTTATCAAAATGTATTTAACATGAATTTAACCATATTCAAAATCCTCTCAGAAATGATGAGGATGTACTAACCAGTAGCAATATGTATTTAACCACGTTTTCATTAACTCGCTTTTGTGTGTCTATTGTTGGGGAATTTAATAATTGATTTGACACTAACTTCCCTATAAGCTTGAGACTTGATTGAAATTTTGAAAATTGCTCAGAATCGGATATCAATGTAAGATTATGGAAAAATACGAGGTATATTAAAAATTTCACTTTTTGACATAAAATTTTAATATCTCGTCGAAAACAATTCTACAATTTAAAAAATTATCATGTCAATGTTTGAAAAGTTAATAATTAACGATTAAGCAAATATCGACTTTCACGAGTAGAATATCAATGATAAGATTTACGTATTACGACAAGTAATGACGAGTTAGGCGAAAATATAATTTAATGATCACATAAAACGATCATTTTCATATAGTAATAAAGGTGCTTCAACGATAAGTACTCGTATTTTTAAAACGTGAGCACACAATTCGCAAATATTTTAAATGTAGAAGCGTTAGCCAAACAGGAAAAACATCCCATCCCGTTCCTTAGTACGCTGAAGAAAGGGATAGGGGATAAAAGACGGTTGATCGTTCGCGGCGGGTAAAATAAATAATAAAACTATAATGAACCCCGTCTTGGAACAAGCGTTGCCATAAAGAGGGATTTCAACATAATTTGCTGGAAATTTTGATTACTATAAATATAAGAAATAAGATGTCACCTAAAGGACTAATATAGAATTACCAGGAAAAACCACCACTAACCCAGAATAAATGCAATTTATCTGTAGTGTGTACCTTATACGAAAAATGGTCAACGTGAAGACAGAGATTTTATAATTTCAAGCAAGAATTATCATTCTTGCCTACAACTAATTTCTTCATGGTTAGGATTCTTTAAATTGTGCCAGGATTCATAATACTATTTTAAAAATCTTACAACTAGTAGAACACGTTGTTACATAAGAAACAAGTAACATAAACTGGAAAATTAATAATGAAAACCTTACAATAAAAACGATGTTCATTCACAAATTATGTCGGAATTTTTTGCCATTACATGGCAACCCCGCTGCGTTAGCTCTGCGATGACATCAGCGCAACTTATGAATTGAGTCTACATGAAAACGTATTCACGCAATGACGCCTCTGGCATTGGTACTGTTGCTAAGTAGAAAAAAGAAAGTATTATGTAATTAAAAAGTATGTATGGCCATTCGGACGAAATGCAATCCAAACTTATTCAAGAAATTCGAATGACTGTTCTCGGTTTATTCCAGTTGTGTAATAAAACACCTTAACGAGTTTCCATATAACATGAGTTACATGTCCCCAATAAGTGATGATTGTACGTAAAACACAGATATTCACTTGTTGCGTTTATACTGCACAAATGCAGACGGTAAGGATGTTACATAACGATGTACCTGTTTGCCGCCGGCGACCATTGTGTTCGCGTTCGATTCACAGTGGTTTCCTCACAAAATGTCACGGTCACAAACACCGGGTGGATCTGAATAAACTGTATAGGCGGCACTGGAGCCGCGTGCGCAGTTCGCGGCGGTTTCTTTCCAACTGAGTGAACTGAACGAGCGAGCGCAGGGATGCGCGCGCGACGGAGCCTCCATCACCATCACACCGCCTACTCTGCGCTACCTTTTTTCTCATAAAAACTATTAAACGAATTGCTATTGAAGACTTAAATGTGTTTTAATTATAGTGGAAAAAGACAAAGACAGAACCGGAAAAAATTATGAAAACTAGAAGGGGTGGTTTCAAATAGTTATAAATAAGTGAGAACCATTTTGAGTTTGTTTTATATTGTACCTATCAGTATCTTCATATTAATTTGTTATGGAAAAAAAGATAAACATAGCTTTGGTAATTACTAGTGTATCTCCTAGATAGCAGAAAATTTTAGTATTTCGTTTTTGTTGAAATATAAATCAATTATATTGATTTGATCTAGCTGTGCCTGTGGTATTGACACAGATTACCCCCTAACATAAACTTAGGGGTAATCTGTGGGTATTGATATTCGTGGAATTTTGTAGACTAAGATTTTTGAAAACTAAACAATTAATTAAAGTAAATTATGAAAAAAAAGGAACACATCGATTTCTTATATTTTAACCGTGCAAGTTCCCGAATCATCAGCATCACTACAGTCCTTCACAAGTCTGAACATCCTCCTCCATAGACTGCCGCAAAGCATGGTCCTGAGCCACTTTCCTTGTCATGAGTTCTTCATTAATGTTCTAAGTTAAAATTTGTATTACTAAGTCAGAGATAATTATATTTATAGCTTGCTTTTGTCTTTTTGAAAAATAATTGAACATATAAAAAAATAATTTAATATATAAGGTGTTCTTTATATGCATCGAATGTCTGGTAGAAAAGCAAATACATCTTTTGCTGAACTTCAAAATCAAAAACCAATTTTAAAATAGACGAATCGATCATAATTCCTTTAATTTTAAAATAAGTTCTAATTAATGGTATGTATTCCAGTTTATGAGTGAATTTAAAAAATAAAATTTCCGTTTATGACAGCCCTGATTTATTTACATGGCTGAAATTAGGTACCTCTTATTAGGTAACCAAATACCAGCCTAATTACAGCCCCATGAATTTCCACTAAAATAAAATAACTTGTTGATTTAAACAAAAATGACTGCTTTACTAAGTCTATAGTCATATTCATGTAAATCAAAAAGCCTAAAGATAAGCTAATGTAAAATAAGAGGACAAATATAGAAAAACAAAAGGAAATCCGACGACTAATGCACCGACTGTGATGTCACTGTATATTTCATCATAAGACTGGTTACCTAATCATAAACGTAAATTAACATAATTTTCAACAAATGGTAAAAGTGTTTAAAAAACAATAATTATCTGGAATCTTAAAGAATTTATTGTAGCCCTTCAAATAAGCACGGCGTAACGTTTGCGATGTAAGCTAGAAACTAGATATCTTTCGATAAATAGTAACGAAACTTGAAATAAGTAAATAAAGAATGAAAGTGACTATCTGCCTTGATTATTTAAAAAAATCGCTTAATGAACAAAATATTCTTATATATTTAACAAAAGTGAGAATTATAGCAATATGTGTAGATTTATTTACTTCAGACTAATGCTGGAATTAATGAGTGATTTCATCGAAATTTTCAGTTATTGACACATTTATCAACAGCGCCCGAAGACTCATTCTAGACTGCAAAGTAACCGTCTCAACTCTCAATACAGGTTAGGTTTGAAATGATACCGGGGTCGATAGTATTTGACAGATATCAAAAAGTTAGGAATATCAAAAGAATAGATTTTGTTATAGAATAAGCATGATAATCGAACACACAGTCCACTTGATGGTAAGTGGTGTCTGTGGTCCATAAACATCTACATCTATCATTAGATATAAATCAAAATACAGATGCGATATCACCAAGGCAATACGCCGACGTAAATCAAAGATAAGTTGGACTCTGTGGATGGGGACTCTGCACCATCATAATACCACAGCGAAATTTTGGGCGGCTGAATTTAAACATGGCCGTGAGAGCTTGGGACACGATCAACATTCGGGACATCCAAAAACTGCAACTACTGAGGATAATATCGGCTAAAGTTCACCAAATGATGCTAGACGACCTCCGAATTAAAATGAGAGAGATAGAAAAGGTTAGGAAAATTACCGAAGAACGCGTTTGTCACATATAAAATCAAGATTTAGGCATGAGAAAGCTGTCAGTGCATCGGGTGCCGCGTTTGCTTACGTTAGAGCAAAAACGTGTTCGAATGAACATTTTCAAAGCTCTGTTGGCGCAGTTTAGGCACAATAGATCTAAGTTTTGGCGTCTATTAATTACTGTAGATGAAACTTGGATACACCATTATACGCCTGAAACAAAAATACAATCAAAACGGTGGACTGCAAAGGGGTAACCGACTTTTTGGAGTCGAAAAGAAGAAGCAAAAACTGTTTTTTCGGCTACGAAAGCGATGACACCTGATTTTTGGGATAGTCATGGAGTTATCCTAATCGATAATCTTCAATAAGGAAAAACCATATGCTCCTGAGCATACTACACATCATTACTTGACAAACTAATGGCAGAAAATGCGGAAAACGGCCACATTTGCAGAAAAAGAAAATCCTGTTTCACCACGACAACGCGCCGTTTCACACCTCAGCTGTTGCCATGGCGGAAATCCACGAATTACGGTTTGAACTGCTTGACCGCCGCCTTACTCACCAGATCTAGCGCCAAGCAACTTCTTTTTGTTCCCTCATATAAAAATTGCGCTCGGAGGACAGAGATTTTCGTCAAATGAGAAGGCAATCACCTTCGTCATTATTACTATTTACAGATAAAAACGCAGAGCACTATTAGGGCGGGTTAGAGAGATGGGAGCATCGCTGGTGAAGTATGTAGAGTTACAAGGAGATTTAGAAGAAAATAAAAATAAATTTTAAGAAAAAATGTCTTGCTTAGATCGGAAACTTTTCAGGCCACCCACGTATATCTGCAGCGTAGCTCTACCGCGTATAAAGATGGTGAATGTCGCGCCTTACTTTAACATTGACTGAAACATTTGTAATGTTGCAATAATAAGCGAGCACAAATGGCATTAAAATAAAGTTAGTACAAGTAGTTAGTTGTTACCTTAATTATTAAAGCCTTTTCCCAAAAAGGGCGCCAAAAACCCCAAAGGGTTTTGGGGGGGGCCCCCGGAGGGCAACCCAAAAAAAGCCCCCCTGGAGATCCCCCCCCAAGCGGCCCTTTTCAAAACTAATTATTAATGTGAGAGATACATAAGGAGCTGAAGACTAAGGCCTCGTGATACTGAATTAGTTCAAATATCATTTGTACAAACATTGTGTTGAACAAACAAGCGGGTTTTAGTGTTTTTGTTTTTCTTCACAGGCATTGTTAATTTCACACGCATTTCTACGTCCTTCAATTTGTTGTATAAGGCAACTCGATATCTAGCTTTCTGGTTACTTCGTTAACCTCCTTACTAAATATTCAGTTAACATTAAACTGTCGACTACAAATGATGTGATAGCCATGTTTTCGAGGTTTGGTTGATTGGTTTTCAAATTCAGGAAAAGTGTTCCAGTTTAATAGATTCTGGTCATTGAAATAAAATATATATTACCGTATTAGTTAAAGATGAAGATGGAGAGACGACCTGGTAAGACATGCAGGAAGTCGATGCAGCTGGCTCAAGACCGTGCTTTGTGCCATTACTTGGCCTATGTTCAGCAGCGGACTTGTGAAGGGCTGTAATGATGATAATGATGATGATTTATTAGTTAAAGTGTATTCAACGTAATATATTATCATCACCATAGAAGCATTCCGCAGAGGTTTCCAACTAAGGTTTTAAAAATCTTTATTGTTTTTCACGAATGTCACCACATTACTAATATAAGATAATATTATCATACTTTTTCCAAAGCACACTAACGGTACTTAGTACGTGCTATTGTTATACTTTTTAGTTTTTCGGCAAAAGGGCTTAAAAAGGTCCAATGGCTATTGGCGAGTAGGTGGAGGGGGTAAGATATGGTGGCGGAAGCGTAACACGTATTGTTGAGTTGCGATGTTTATTTAAGTTGATGAAAAAAAAATCTGTTACAGGGCGTAGGCGATGGATCTGATGAACTTGTCGAATTGTGTATGACTTAATACAATATGTGGGTATTTTATTATTATTTGTGTTTATTTGGTCAAGTAATGCCAACAGTCTTTTTTATGTAGGATAAGGGTGACAAACGTGCAAGCAGTCCACCTGATGGTAAGTGGATGCTGTGGCCTACAGACATCTACATTCGATTAAGAATCAAAATGCAGATGCGTTGTCACCCCTGAGGACTAAGATGGAATGTCTCGATCCCAGTAAAACGGGTCTCCGGTTTTCTACACTCACCAACGAAACACAGCAGTATTAAGTCGCCATTTTACGCTGGTTCTCCGTGAGAGCGTGGTTCCTCCCCGGTCGAGCCGATCCATTCAAGCTACAACCATAATATAGCTGCAGCGTGGCGCTACCACGTAAAATTACATTACACTTGAAAAATTGATTCTGACACTTTCTCAAAATAGGATTTCTTTTGAAAATTCGTTGCTTTCATTGCCCATTTAGATTTTTTGTAATGAAACATGCAAATGTATAAATAATTTATTGCAAAATTGCTCCATCGTGCGCCCGCATATTTGGCATACAACAAAGAATTTGTCGGTAAATAAAACTGTTACGCTACTAAGTGCTATTCTCATTTTTATTTTGTTTTGACAACTGCTGTTCATCAAAGTAATGGTCTCGTCTGTTCAAAGTTCTGCCTACAACAGTAAAAGTTAGAAGTTAGTGGACTCCTTTTTCTCTAGCAGTCCGTTTGGCTTCTGTCGTATTTCGATTAAAAAAGGAAGAGAACCAG